CAATGACCACAGCAACTCTTATAGAAGAAAGCATTTAATTAGGGCTGGCTTACAGCTCAGAGGTTTAGTCCATTGTCATCATGGCAGGAAGCACGGTGACATGCAGGCAGACATGGTGCTGGAGAGTAGCTGAGAACTATGCATCTGGATCTACAGGTAGCAGGCAGAGACAGAAAGAGAGACTAGACCTGACTTGGGCATTTGAAACCCTAAAGCCCACCCCCACTGACACACGTCCTCCAACAAGGCCACACCTCCTAATTCCTGTGAAGTAGCACCACTGCTAATGACCAAACATTCAAATCCATTGACCTACAGGGGCCATTCCTATTCAAACTACCACAAAGTGTACACACACACACACACACACACACACACACACATACACACACACACACACAAACACATGCATGATCTACATGGCTAGAAATATATATGGCATGATATACTGGCTTAGCAGTTAAGAGTGCTCACTGTTCATCCAGAAATTCATTTCTTAGCACCCATGTCAGGTAGCTTACAACAACCTGTAACTCCAGCTCCGGGGATTAAACGCCATCTTCTGACTTCCATGGGCACCCATACACACACACACACACACACACACACACAAATTTTTTTTTTTTAATGTAAAACTAAAGAGATGGCTAGGTTGGTAAAGTCCCATGCAGGCATGAGGACCTAAGTTTGGATCTGTCACACCCACATGAAAACCTGAGCACAGTAGTGCACATTAATAACTCCAGCCCTTGGATGTGGGTAGTGGAAACGAGTAATCCCTGGGGCTGATTACTCAGCCAGCCCAGCTGAATCAAGGCACTCCAGGTTTGGTGAGAGACCCTGTCTCAAAAACTAAAGCAGAAAACAATTGAGGAAGACACCAGACATTAACCTCTGGCCTCCACACATGTTTACTTATATACACATGTACACACAAACATGTTCATATATATATATATATATATATATATATATATATATATACACACACACACACACGTATACACACATACATGTTCACAGATACACACACACAAACACACACACACAAACACACACACACACACACACACACACACACACACACATACACAGAGGCCAGGTGTGGTGACAGATGCCTTTTATCTCAGCATTCAGGAGGCAGAGGGAGGTGGATTTCTGTGAGTTTGAGACCCACTTGGTTTACATAGTGAGTTCCAGGATAGTCAGGGCTACAGAGTGAGACCCTGTTTCTATATAAATAAATAAAATGTAAATAAATCAAGTATATGGGGGTGTATATAGGTCCTGTGCCAGTTGTATGGCATTTTATGTCTTGACTCGAGCCTCTGTGGATTTTTTATATCTGCAGAGGGTCCTGGAACCAAGTGCCTTAGATGCCATAACCAACTGAGTATAAATGGATATTTATTTGGTGGCCATTGTATGTTTATGAGACACTCAGATACAATCCCTATTGTAGCTTCAGAACTTGGGACTGGTGAACATCAAGTTTTGGCTTGAAGAATTGAATTTCATGTATACACATCTATTTTGCATTCTTTTCCATCTGAAATCAATCCAAACAACTCTAGAGGTGAGAGAAGCCAGCAGCCCCAGACCATCCCTGCAGAGTTCAAGCTCGACAGCTTTCTATGCTTAGACTATTTCCATGGCCAGCATGCTTATTTTTCTCAGTTCGTCTCACCTCTGTACCAAGGGCAAAGTTAGTGTTTTTGAGAATAAATGAACTGTCCATTCAATGACTATTCAAGTGACTACTTGGTGCCTGGCTCTTTTCTGTACATTGGAGACATAATGGGAGGCAATGTCAAAAGGCCTTGCCATTGAGAGAAAGTCCTGAGATGAAAGGCCAATGAAAATGTCAGGATGGAGTGAGTCACAGAGCTCCTGTGCCTAGAGAGAAGTTGGTTGGTTAAGAGTACATTTGGGGTCACACTGGCTGGGCTCTAACGTTGATTCTGCCACTATAACTGAGAAGGTCAGACTCTCTGTACCTCAGTTTCCCCACCTGTGACATGAGGGTGATGATATCACAGTTCTTGGAGAGCCTTTGAGAGGCTGAACATGTTATTGTAGTGCACTGGACACGTGGTGGATGTTATAGAACATCTTTCTGCAGCTATTGGGCTGGACATGACCAGTAGCGCCATAGGAGCAGGAATGAGGAAAGGGAACAGGGTGGTGTGCGCAGGGACAGGGATGGAAGCTCAAAGGGGTGGCCAGGACCACACCATTAAGAAGGTGTTATCAACATGTCTTGGGAGAAGCAGTGCGATGTCACATGGGTACACAGGATCGTGGGTTCCAGGGATAACCTGGTGGTCAGCTGGGCTGGTGTGGCATGAGGTAAGGCTTATCAGAGACCAGCTTGGTGTTCATCATAAGGACTTTCGTTTAGACTCTGATAATGGTAGAAGAACGGAGAAGTGACAGGCTCTGACTTAACAGGCCAGAGGCAGTCTGGCTGGGAGCAGAGTGAGGAAGAAGGTGAGGAGACCCGTTAGGAAAAGACAAGAGATGGCAATGACATGGGCCACCATGGTCCCCATGGAGGTGGTACAAAGTGGGCAGGTGTGAGTGGAACCAGAAGGTGGATGCAATAGGACTGGGTGCTGGGTGGAATGTAGGGACGAGAGGGAAGACATTGAAGGTTTACCCTCAGCAAATGTTACAGGACTCTGTTAACTGAGATGGCAAAGTCCTGTGAATCTGGCAGATTCCTTTCTGGTCAAGTATATTTATTTCCTGGGTGCTACCACACAGTACCACAAACTATGTGGCTTAAAACACCAGGAGTATTTTCTGAGTTCAAGAGACTAAACATCTGAAATCAAGGTGTTGACAGGACCATTTCTTCTGAGGCAAAGGTAGATCTGCCTTGCCTCTTCTAGCTCCTGGTCCACCCTATCTCTGCCATCACATGGCATCCCCTGTGCCTCTCTCTTTATGAGAATTTTCCTCTCACAGAGAAGGCCAATTGTGCTGCATTAGGGCCCTACCTAATGATTTTGTCTTAACTTGATCACTTCTGACCCATTTCTAAACATTGCTCCACTCACAGGGACAGGGATGTTGGGCAGGTGAGTCCAACATCAACACACTGCAAGCAGGTGAAAACCCCCTAGAGTCCTTGAGGGTCTAAGAGGCAGAGTGCGAACTCCAGCAGAGAATGCCAGACAGTGAAGTGGAGAGAGGGTCAGTAGGAGAAACCCAGCAAGGGCGGAATCCTGGGGTCCAGGAGAAGGTAGGGAAACTGAGTCAAGTGAGAGAAAGTTCTGGGCCTGGCCAAGCTGAGGGGCTGGAGTTAAATTGTTGATGAGTGGTCTTGGATTAAAAACTCACCTACCTAATAGCATTGTCTGTAGTTTGCTAAACTCCAATGTTAAAACCTTTAATATTTAGTCTGTGCTTGTTTCTAAGGTCTGTGTTTATTCACTAAGCAGTTGGTCCATGTCTGGATTGAGGATAGATGTGAGGTGTGAGAGGGTGAATAGCACACTCCACCCTCTGGGGACTAGTGTTTACTAAAGAGGTGAGTCAAACGATTAATATACAGGGCAACATCTTAGTGTCATTAACCACCAAGTAGCTGCAAATTACATAGCATCCCACACCCACTAGATGGCTAAACATAAAAAGACCAGGGTCACTGACTTTTATTGGGGGGCATGGAGCACATGAGCCCAGTGGACCATAGCACATTGCCGTGGGGGTACAACTCCTGCATCTAGGCTTGGGAACTGTTCCTGTGGCTTTTTATTTAAAGGCATCTACCCTCTGACCCAGCAGGTTTTACTCCCAAGAGAAACAGAAACACATCCACAAAAAGACAGGAATGTCCAGGCAGCCTTATCTAACAGCCTGAAGCTAGAGGTACCTCAGCTGCCCATCAGGAGAAGCAGAGACAAGTGATGGACAGCCTGGTGATAGAAAGAAAAGAGCAGATACTCCACAGCATCTAAAAATCTCAAAAGCAGCTGAGCCAAAATAGAAGAAACCACATGGTTACAGAATGCTGAACAGCAGATGAAGCCCACCTGTTCTAATAGAAGACAGAAAGTGACATCTCCCAGGGAAGAGGGCAAAGAGAACAAATGGACATTTAGGGATAATCAGGGTTTTACAGATGTCTTGGCTTGGGTGTAGATCCTGTCCAAACTCACCATCAGACCTCTGGCAACTTGAGTTTTTGTTTGTTAGAGACAGGGTCTCACTGTGTAGCCCAGATTAGCTTCCAATCCACTAGCCTCTGTAGTCCCGGGATTGCATACATCCACCACTGCCTTTTCATTACACCAAAATTAGACTTTAATAAAGCTGTTTGCTGGAGCAAATCTCAGTGGTCAACAGCATAGATTGATCTTTCAGAGAACCCAGGTTCAGGTTCAGTTCCCAGCACCCACACTGCAGTTCACAACCATCTGTAACTCCAGTTCCAGGGGCTCTGACACCCTCTTCTGAACTCCACGGGCAGTAGGTACACATGTGGTGCATTTACATACATTCAGGCAAAACACCCATGAAATGAAAATAGATTCTAGTAAGGAGATACTGTGATGAGTGTCTTTGGGGACTCAGCAGGGAGATGAAGGAAAAGCCAATAGTGAGGGAGGTTCCTGGGGAACAGAGACCATGGTGATCTGATACTCCAAGAAATAGTTGGAAAAGCAAGAATTTCTCAGCCAGGGATGAACCTGAGCAAAATTCCATGAGTGACTAAGGAACTGGCTGTGTAACTTAAAATCCTCCACCCCTTGTTTAACAGATCTGTTTGGAAGGTTTCTGTGTATCTGAGGCAGATCCCACTTGGCTCTGTTATAACAACGTCTTCCTGAGCTGTGTTGGGTTTTTCATATAATTTTATATGTCATTTTCTAACAACATTTCTCCCTAAATCAGTAGGGAGATTGGTTTTTGCCAATCAATAAATTGTTGTGCCTTGTACTTCTTCAAATAACTCGAAGCTTTCCATTTCTTTTCTCCTTAAAAAACAAAAGCTACAGATTCTTGTGGACACTGGAAGCAGTAACTTCGCTGTGGCAGGTGCCCCACATTCCTACATAGACTCCTACTTTGACTCAGAGAGGTGAGTGGTTAATCCACAGCTTTGGTGACTGGCCTTGGGGGTGTGTCCTGGGGTGACATCTTTGCAAATGTATTAGAACAAAACAGCCAGAAGACCATCTATCTCATTTCAAGGGAGCTGTGTACATGTGGTATGCTTGTGTATCTGTGTGTGTGTGTGTGTGTGTGTGTGTTTGTGTGTGTACATGTGTGTAAATGAATGCACACAATATGTGCACTTCTCCTTCCAGGGAATCTATATCAGGTACCTCTGATAGCCTTGGGGAAATTTGCCTTATGGAATTTCACCATGTTTCTTGGTCCCACAGGAGCTGCATTTCACAGTGTGGGAAAGTAGTTGCAGAGCGAGCCCACCCACGTGTGTCCCACCCACTGCCTATCAGGCTCCACTCAGGTGCCAGGAATGTCAGGGTCTCCTGTTTGCACAGCTGAAGAGAGGGCAGTGACGGCCTGTGCCAGGTGGCACCTCACCACACCTCAATACAATAGCGCTGGCCTCTCCCTCAAGAAACATAGAGCTTCTGTATGGCTCCACATAGCGATAAAATATCAGGTTGATAATCCAGGCACAACACCTGGCCAGTGATTATTTTGGACCCAAGATGATTACAACATGCCCAAAAGTTATTGTTATACTGTGATCATGTGTGTGGAGTGGGTGGAGTTTCTGTGTGTGTGCCAGTGGGGTTGGGTTATGTGTGTGCCAGCAGGTTGGGTTCTGGTGGCTTTGCTGTTCTGTCCTGGTCACACTGGTGGTTCACCCTATGTGGGTGATTCACTCTATATGGCCCTTACCCCCTTCCATCACACCCTCTGGACTGCTGCACTGGAGCAGGATAGACCTCTCATGTTTAACCCTGTAGCCTGGGAGATAAAGGAGCAAGGAGTCTTCCTGAATTCCAGCTTCCAGACCTTAGCCCAGTACTGGCACCTTGCCACAAATGCCTTGTAATGTTCCTCCATGAGATCAAAGACTTTATAACTACCACATCCATAATTCTTACGGGTCTGAAATAATGCAGGTGTTGCATATCTGATCCAAAAACCCCGAGATACCCCCAAACCTGAAATGCTTTGAGCAGGCACAAGATCCTGCAAGTGGCAAGTTCCATTACTGACCCCAGGCCAGTCACAGCACAAATGTACCAAAATACTGTATGCGGTGACCTTCAGGCTACGTTTTTAAGGTGTGTATGTGTGTGTGTGTGTGTGTGTGTGTGTGTGTGTGTGTGTGTGTGTGTGTGTGTCACAAATCAAGTTTTCATTTAGGAGTAGGTCTCCTTCCCCAGGTATCTCATTATGTATATGCAAACATTCCAGAAAAACTTAATCTGAAATACTTCTGGTCTCAAGTATTGGGAGGACCCTACACCAAGCCTGAATGAGGTGATGTGAGTAAAGTACTCAGTACATGATATGAGCATGCCCAATGAGAGGCATGCAGAGGAGGCTGGAGGCTTCACACCAGTGTGGATGCAGGCCCAATGCAACACAGAACCAGTGGAGGCCATTTGGGCAACTGGCTTAAACTGGTTACCTGGTTATCTTGGGTAGTTGATGAGATTTTCTAAAATGAAGAAGAATTTTCATGAGCTTAAAAATACAGTGTCAACTGCCTTCCATTCATGTATTAGTTAATGCTCCAATGTGTGTTAAATCTGCCCATGATACTTAGGATGAATGAGAAAGGGAGGTGCCCCTGGCTCACACAGATAGCTTTCCACCCACATGCATCCCAGGGGACTTGAGGAAGCCCTGTGGCAGGTGAATGGTTCTGGGTTTTTTAAGAGATGTCCTGCCTCTTCTAGGATTGCACCATTCCAGGCATAGCCCAAAACAGGGCAGCACCTTCCCTTCCAAGACCCACTCCCCTCGCAGACTAGGAAGTCCAGGCTCACAAATCTGAGGCAGGTGCATAGCCCACCCTCCCAGCAGTGCAGTAGTTCTTTCCTTATCACACATCTGTTGGCATAAGAGTCACAAGAAGGAAGCTGTAACACTGGAGCTGGCGTGAGTCAGGGTGATGTGGACAGATAGATGCTGATGGTGCACTGTAAAGGCAATTTCTAGCCAGGAGGCAACTATCTTGGCAGCTTCATTCTCAGCGCCATCAGGGCCAAAGTGCACCTAGGCATCCTTTGACAAGACCATGCAGTTGTTGAAATGTGCCAGGGTAAATAAAAGTTACTGTTGCTGATGCTGTGTACTCTATCACTCAGTGTTCATGAGTCAGTTGCAGACAGGATGGCAGCTTTCTCACGGACCTCCTGCTGTGTCTGTTGTTAGGATGAACTGTGGTTCTCAGGCTCCAGCAGGTCTCCTTTTTTTTTTTTTTCCCTGCTTTGTGCTCCTCCTTCAGGTGAACTTTGTGTTTCTAGCCAGTGTGTGGGAGGTGGGCAGAAATTCCCTTTATCCTGTGCAATAGGCTGGGCTTCTCAGGCCTGCCTTCATCTGAGTCAACAGGAGCTCCTGGGCTTTGCACTGTTGGCTGTGACTGGTCAGCCTTCCTTCCTGCTAAGCCCACAAAAGAACATAGACACCCCCTCAGCTCTGCCACCTCAGATCTATGTCCCCCACTTTTAAGTAAATAAAAGAGGAACGGCAGAACACACCCAGGTCTAGGAAAAGCAGGACTTCCCTCTGTGTTGTCTGCCACTTCCGCCTTCTCCTTGGTGAAGACTGAGATTGGTGGGAAATTGTTTGTACTTAGAGTCAATGCAGACGTAATTATTATAAAGAATATTTGCTCTCCATGTAAATTATCATTTGTCTAGTACTTTTGCTGATGTTGGCCATGGTGAGGTTTTTTTAACCACTGTATCTGATGGAAGCCAGAGAACAGTCTCTTTCCTTCTGGATCTCTGACAAAGGTGCCTTTGTGGAGATGTGGCCCCCTGCCCTGCAGTGTTTGAGTATCGACTTGGTCCTCTGATTTCTTCGTTATAATAAGGCTCCTGGTTGGGCATGGCAGCCTGATTCAAGTCCCCAGCCTTCAGATATTCGGGTTTTGTGCTTCCTGAAGCATCGTGCAGTAATTGGAGATTTGGCTCAGGGTTCTTTGAGAAGATCTCTTTGATTTATGGAAGATGAGGGGCCACTGTGAGTCATTTGTGTGACTTGTCCCCAGCTCTCTGCAGTTGTTGGATGTCCCAGTGTGTAACTATGCAGCAGCAGGGAAAGGGCTTCATGTGTTTCAAATGCATTTTCTTTTCAGCCAATAAAATGGCCTCCAAGAAACTGGCTTGGTGAAAGATCCCATATGTGCCTCACTTAGCCTCTGTCATTCAGGAGCCTAAGCATGCTTGTCTATTAACGTTGCCTCACTCCTGCACTCTGTCTGGGGTGAAACTCACAGAAACACTGAAGCAATGAACCAATTCATTTTGTGCAAGGATGCCTGGAAGTGAGCTTAGGGAACTGAAGGACCACCTGGTGATGTCTTTAAAGAGGTCAGAGGGACACACAGATGCCTTCACATGCAGTAGGGGACAGTTCTTTCTCTTGGTTGCCCAAATAACTTTTCAAGACTGTCTGTGGTTGACCTGTCTATCAGGGGCTGGCTTCTTTGGAGCCTGGGAGCTTGAACCACCAGGCCAAGCTCAAGGTTCCCATCCATTCACTGGTGACTTCTGAAATCACTGACAAGTCACAAGGTCCAAATCACCAAGTCCACTGGTGCCGAACTCCGCAATGTGCACAGAAATATTATGAAGAAGCCTTTAGGAGCCTCAGCATACGCTGGGTGGGGTGGCTCAGGAGAACTAGAGCTGATGCAAGACTCGCCTTTGAAGTCAGCAACTCCGCCTTTTCCATGTTCTCTAGAAACAATGGTGGCTTTCTCTTGAGACAAGATGGACTGAAGTTCTGTTCTTGGCTTCAACTGTTCTCTCCTTTAGTCCTGCTTTCCCTGAACTCTCTGAACAGAGGCAGAATGTCTTCTACATCTCATTCAAACTGTTTTTATTGCTGTGAGAAGACTCATTCCTGGCCACCCACATCCCTGACTGTTTGCCATGCCTGAGCATCTGGAATGGAGGCCTTGCATGTGCTGCCCATCCAGCGTTTTCTCCTGACGTGATTAATGTGAAAAGCACGTGAGAGCAGAAACCCAGTGTCAGAAAAGTAGGATGTTAGCAAATGAAGATGCAGAAATCACTTTAAAGTGTTGGAGATATGCTAATAACCTGCAGGGCTGCTCATGATGCTGCCCAGGCTTCCCCTTACTCTCTCCAATTCAGTAAAGGAGCCCCAAAGAGGGTGAGCTTATAATTTAGAGTTTTCCTCCATTCTCTCAGAAAATGTTTTTTACAGGGGTGGCCATTGATCATGTGGAGCTATTTAAATTAATTAGTGCTAAATGAAATGAAATAAAAGTTCAGCCTTCTGGCACCATCACATTCCAGTAGCTGCATGTGGCTTCCATAATGAATGAGAGAGACATGGATCAGCACCATCATCAGAGCAGGTTCTGTTGGACAGTGCTGGTCCAGATCACAGCATTGAACCATTTAGAAGCCTGTTGCCCAGGGATCTGAAACAACACTTCTGCCTCTCCCCTCATAGTTGAGTTATCTTCTGCATCAGGAATGGTTGCCCCCTTTTTAAGAAGCACTCAGACTTTAAGTTTAGGATACTCGGCAATATCATCCTATAGGTGTATTTTCTAGAACAGCCTTGAGTTTTCTAATGGTAGCTCATAAATTGGAGAAAGCTAGGAATCCCTTTGATAATTACACTAATTGTAGCTGTTTTGTTGCAGACTTGTTGGGAGCCAGGATTTTGTTCTAAATTTGTCACACATTAACCTTTCCAGTCTGCATAGGTAGTCTCAGGAGGTACAGTCCCGGTTTATTCTAGAATATTAGAGGACTAAAGCACACAATTCAATTTGCTTGTTCCAGAATAATACAGGTAGTGAGTGAGTGAGCTTGTATGTGGACTGTGGTACTGTAATTCTTACTGCCTTTTTGTTCTCTGCAAGTGGCATGGAACTATCCATGTAAGGCAGCTGCAGGAAACCCAAAGACATGCTGTGTAGATGTGATGCCAGCTCAGGTTCTTATTCCAAGGAACATGCTGAAGCCTAGATGAGATGAAAATAAAACACTGTTCAAAGCCCAGCTTGGGGAAGTGATGGGGGAAAACAGCTGATCTGCTAGTTAGTTCAAAGGGTCCACCATTATAGACAGTGGGCCAAATCTGACTGGCTACTGTTTTTATAAATAAAGTTTTATTGGGGGCACAGCCACACTCATTTGCTTCTGTATGGTCTATGGCCATTCCCTTGATACAGCACCACAGCTCAGTACCTGCCACCAAGATGACAAGGTGAACAAATCCAAGAACATTACTTTATAGACCTTTCATAGAAAAGGTGTGCCAACTCCTGTGCTAAGTCATTCTGCGGGCATTTCTGAACTTGACTTGTATGCTTCTGTTCTCTCTTCAGTCAGTTTGGCATGGTGATGGAGCCATGCTGCTAGCTGATTGACACCAGGTTGGATGGTTTCCTTTCAGGGAAGAGGTGCTCAGTAAGAGGCTCCCAACGGTGTTGAAGTTGACAGTGTGGGCAGAAAGCAAACAGACTAGGAGCACCCTGTAGACGATGAGTGTAGACGGAAATTTCTCTCCTGCCTGCCTGTTCCCAAATACCCAGCAGCCGCTTATACATAATTGACTTGGAGGCTTAATATTATTTATGAGAATGGTGCCGTAGTCAACATGGATACCGCTTTCTACTGAGCATCACTTCCTATAGACTGTATAGGACCACTGTAAACCATGATGACTGGCTGTGCCACAGTTGTGGCTCAAAGAGCAGAGGCCTATAGACAGAATACCACAAACTTCTTTTCTCTTGCAGATCCAGCACTTATTACCCCAAGGGCTTTGATGTCACTGTGAAGTACACACAGGGAAGCTGGACTGGCTTTGTTGGTGAGGACATTGTCACCATCCCAAAAGGCTTCAACAGCTCTTTCCTGGTCAATATTGCCACTATTTTTGAGTCCGAGAATTTCTTTTTGCCTGGAATTAAATGGAATGGAATTCTCGGACTTGCTTATGCTGCCCTGGCCAAGGTAAGGCAGGTCTATCTGTTCAAGTTAATCAGATGAGGCAATGAGGCTGTGAAAACTAGTCATTAAAGGGACCGGCACAGGGGTCCTGGGTTGTCCTGGGTGGTAGCTGCTAAAAGTCACAATGAGAAAAGTGTTCACATAATGAAGTTTCCAGTCATGTTTGCAGATTAGGGTAACTTCCTTTAAGATATAATGTGTGGAGATCCACAGAGGTTTCCTAGTGAGAACTTAAAGAGTCTGAGAATCTGAGCTTGCTTTACCCAGCAGGGCTGCATAAGGGGATGATGAGACCACGGGCATGGTTACCAGGTGTTTGGAAGGGTCTACACTTGGCTGTGCAGTGTGCTTTGATCTAGCAAGGGGGAGGTCTTTTGTCCTGCCCCTTGGCATTGTTATAAAAAGCCCTTTTGAAGAGGCAGAAGAGGCCGTTGAGTATTGATCCAGGTCCTCCCAAGGCTATTCTGTGTTCCTCCTCTTTGCTATCTTTCTATCTCTCCTCCTCATAGGAACCCTTTAAAATGTGGGAGCTGGCCTCCCACATAATGTTAGTTTTTTGTTTTTGTGTGTGTGTGTACACGCACACATGTGTATATATGTTGGGGGTGAGCATCACACAAATGAATGGAGGCCAGATGTTGGTATCAGGTGTCTTCCTCACTTACTCTTCACCTTATTTTTTTAGACTCTCTCTCAGTGAACCTGTAACTTGCCAATTTAGTTAGGCTGACTAGCCAGCAAGCTCCAGGGAACCCCTATCTGCACCCATTCCAGTGCTGGGATTATTGGCATGTGCTGCTGCTATATCTGGCTTTTTACATGAGTTCTGGGGAATCAACCTCAGGTCCTCATGCTCCTGCTTGTATAGCAAGCACTTTACCAACTGAGCCATAGTTCGAGTTCAGTTTCATTATTTTGTTATTGTTTTTGTTCGTTGTTAGCAGAATGTGAGTCCTGTAGGTTGTGGAGTTTGCTTAGAAATGTTGATGAGGGTGATATTAAAGGGAAACATACATGTAATTAATCTCTTAGGATCATATGAAGACGAGTGACACTAAGCCATTAAAATGGTAGAAGTGCTCTCCCAGGGCTGAGAACACTGCTGTCCTGTCACCCCCAGGGGACCTCTGGGGGAGACATCAGCAACTGGTATGTGGTCAAGTGCACTGTGGATAGCCAGCCCCTGCAGGAATGGCCAGGGAAAAATGCTGGAATGCTGTGCTTACAAAATAAGAGCCTTCCCAAGACAGGATTGGGTCATGTCCAGTATTTGTGCTTGGATCAATCCAAAGAAATAATGGTGTACTAGAAGAGGGTAGGCAGGGGAGGATCTACCCGGGGCAGTTGCCAGAGGCAGGTGGATTCACGGAAGGGCTGTATCTGGGAGACAGGCAGGTGTTATGCACATGAGCAAAGCAGAAGGGGTCACCCATCCTGGCACCGCTAGTGGGCACCATTCCCTGGCTTAGTGGCTTAGGCCTAAACTTTGAGACTTAGCTTATTGCAGGGAAGAGTGTAGCCACATGAGCAGTAGCCCTGTGTAGCCTAGGACAATCCAGAAAAGATTGTTCACTCACCCTGTGGAATATGTGCTCAGCTCCAGTCTATTTACAATGATGGGGGGGCAAATGGGGAATTCCAAGCCCTTGGATTCTCCTGGAGAAACAGGGGTTACCAAGTGCCTGTCAGACCCCAGGCAGAGGACATCACAAGATAGCCATTCATGCAGCTCATGCTCCTGTGAGGCAGACCCTGTGAGGCCCTTGTGTTTCATTTACATGTGTGGTTGCTTCAGTGAAGATGTTTAGCATCCATTGATACATGAGCCCCAGGCCACTCTCACTCTGTTGCAGAGCCAGGACGGGCTCAAGAGCCCCTTTGTCCTTGGCGCTGTGGACAGACTTCATTGATGTGAAGACTGGCGTGGAACCTGGGTTCCTAAGTCCCCCTTCTGCTGACAGTATGACCTTGGGCAAATCATATCTTTAATGGTTGGAAATGAAGGATGAGATGCTTTTAATGCTAATTATTCTGAAGAACAGTCCTAAATTAACTGGAATTAATAATGTGTAAAGCCTTCATGAGAACAGACTACTTAGGGGTTTCTGTGGAGGCATTCAGCCTCTCCACGTGACCTTTTTATCTTTTCATCCATAAAATCCCAAAGTTACTGACAGCTAGTTTCAGGCTTGCCATTGGATGATCTAGTAATAGTCTCTGTAGGGAGTGGGCTGCATCTAGAAGGACCAGTTGGATGGCCTAGGTCAGGTGTCCTACCCCTGAAACAGTGTGGCTGGCCAAGGACTGGGTAGTAATTCTAGTATGGGTACCCTAGTGGGTCCCAGATAGTTCTCCAAAGCCTACGCATCACAGCCACTAGGGGGCATCTTATGCTGCAGATGCCAGGCCCCACTGCACACCTCCTTAGATCTGGATCCTTCAGGGTTGGTTCTGAACAACTCTAGATTTTTTTAGTCCTTGAGAGATTTGCAGGCCTAGAGCCTAAGGAAAAAATGACTCATAGAATAACATCATGTTTGAACTATGCATGTGTCAGGCTGTAATGAGTCTTTCTCTGTCCCGCCAGCCAGCTCCCAAATCATGACACAGAGACTTATTATTAATTATGAAAGCTTGGCCTTAGCTTAGGCTTGTTTCTGACTAGCTCTTATAACTTAAATTAACCCATTTCTGCTAATCTACATGCTGCCATGGGCTCGTGGCTTTTACCTCTCCTGCATGTCCTGCTTTCTCTGCGTCCAGCTGGTGACTTCCCCTTTCTTCTTTCCAGAGCTCTCTTTGTCCAGAAGTTCTGCTTATACCTCCTGCCTAGCTATTGGCCATTTAGCTTTTTATTAAATGAATCAGGTGACATATCTTTGCATAGTGTAAACAAATATCTTGTAACATCAGGCTTTTTAGATGCAAAGACCTTGGACCTCTTAAACCCCAGAACAGGTCTGAGACAGGCAACTGTGGTCACAGTTGCCAGATAAGGGAACAAAAAACTAGTCAAACTAGTCAGGACCAGTCCAAGGATTGGCCAGACATGAAGTAAGCATTCATCCTCTGCTGCCTTTCAGGAAGGAGGTCCAAGATGAGTTCCCACCAGGCCCCGCCCACCCCTTGGTGAACTTTGTCTTTCAGTCCATTCAGACACATAGCCTTTCTGCAGAGATCACATGGGGAGATGGTGCTAAATGCAGGGTAGGATTATAGGAGCAGAGACAGAAGGAGCAAATAGCCAGAGAGAGATGGACTGATCAAATGAGGAGGCTCCTATCTCATTCATAATGTGTAGAGACCCACAGAGGTTTCCTAGTGAGAACTTAGGGTCCAAGAATCTGAGCTTGCTTTACCCAGCAGGGCTGCATAAGGGGATGATGGGACCACGGGCGTGGTTACTAGGTGTTTGGAAGGGTCTGCACTTGGCTGTGCAGTATGCTTTGATGGCAAGAGGGAGGTCTTTTGTCCTGACCCTTGATATTATTATAAAAAGTCCTCTTGAAGAGGCAGAAGAGGCCATTGGGTATTGATCTAGGTCCTCCCAAAGCTATCCTGTATTTCTCTTCTTCATTGTCTTTCTATCTAATATTTTCTTATCCCTCTTTCTCTTCCTCATAGGAACCCTTTAAAAGGTGGGAGCAGGTCTCCCACAGATGGTGCCCTGAACAGGGACTTAGGTTCAGGGACCCCCACAATAATGGGGCTTCGAATTCTCGTGGCTAGTAGCAGCTATTCCTTCAGCGTGATCATGAGCAGGGTTTTAGCTGCCACGGCTGAGCATTACATTTGTCTGAAGAAACTGGCAACCTAAGCAGGGCATGGTGCTGCATGCTGGTAACCCCAGCTATTCTCAAGGTCAGATCAAGAGGACTGCTGAGTTGAAGGGCAACCTAGGCAACATAGCAAAACTCTGTCTCAGGTGAAAGCAAAAACCAAAATTCTGGCAACTCATGGTGGCCAACCCTGGTGTCTCCCAGTTGTGAAAGCCAAAGTCTAAACTAACTTCCTTCATGGCACCTGCAATGCTAGTCTATTCTAGCCCAAAACTGTTTACAGAGCGCCCCCTTCACCTTGGACATTCTTGTGAAATGGAGTTGTCCTTCAAACATGTCACCTCGTGAAGGAGAGGCACTAGACAAAGGAAGCCTACAATCCTGCAATGGGGAGTGTCCTGACCATTGAAGCCTATGATGGCTGGAGTACCAGGGGCTGGGATAAGGATGCATGGTCCTTGTAGGTCAGTGGTTATTTGTATGTTGGTTGGCTTTGGAGGTAGGTAGGTGTAGCTAGAGTTTTCCTGCCTTGTCCATAGTCAGGACATATCTCTCTCACCCGCCAGTCCCACAGCCGCTCAGACCCGACCAAGTAAACACAGAGACTTACATTGGTTACAAACTGTATGGCCGTGGCAGGCTTCTTGCTAACTGTTCTTACAGCTTAAATTAATCCATTTCTATAAATCTATACCTTGCCACGTGGCTCGTGGCTCGTGGCTTACCAGCATCTTCACATGCTGTTTCTCATAGTGGCAGCTGGCAGTGCCTCTCTGACTCAGCCTTCCACTTCCCAGCTTTATTCTCTTCCTTGTCCCGCCTGTACTTCCTGCCTAGCCACTGGCCAATCAGTGATTTATTTATTGACCAATCAGCAACACACTTGACATACAGACCATCCCACAGCAGGTAGGACTCTTAGAGTAACTGTGTTCTCTTACCCCAAGTATCTAAGCCCAGATCAGTAACCCACTACCACAAGTTCACACATCTTGTATCCTGAAATGGTGATAAACAGCTTGGCAGCATCCTAATAGCTTTTGGAGATATCATACTTTTGTGGTAGAACCTCAAATGCCACACAAGAGGAAGCAAGATGCGAGACTTCTGCATGATCACACCCAGTTTCAAGCATGTGTTGATTAACCATGAAGACTCTTAAGTAGAAAGACCAAGAATACCAAAAGAGAGGGATGCTGACTGCACCAGCTTATCCTTGTCTTCACAGTGGTCACAAAGCAGTAACTGTCTTTCCCACCTTTCTGCAGCCATCAAGCTCTCTGGAGACCTTCTTTGATTCCCTGGTAGCCCAAGCAAAGATTCCAGACATTTTCTCCATGCAGATGTGTGGGGCTGGATTGCCAGTAGCCGGATCTGGTACCAACGGAGGTAGTCTTGTGGGTATCTTTCAGTCTTAAAGGGATGAAAAATCACAAATTGATGGGTTTTCTCTTTTACTAAAAACAAATCAGAACCATTAGACACACAATCTAATTTAGGTACTGGTCAGGCACCCTATAGGAAATGCTTAACCATCACTAAATATTAGGCACCATAACGGGATTTAATGATAATTTAATAACTTTGTCATACCACCTTTAGAAGATCGATAATGGTCCAGCCATCTAAAAACGTGATTCTCAGTGCTTCTCCAAATCCTACCCCTGTTGTCTTATTGTCCTTTGAGAATATACAAAGCAGCCAGCTTTCCATGGGAAGATGCACCAGCAAGTAAGGGACGTGGAGGGTGCAGCAGGTGCTCCTCTAGGTGGGGCGTGCACACCTATGATTTCCATGTACTTGATGGGAAGCAGAGCCAGTCTCCCGTCTTCCCTCCCCCTTCACTCCCTTCTCTTTGTTCCCCCCACACAGGGACATACCACCCTCAAAAATGTTTAGAATGAAATGGAAATAGGGCAGTGTACCCCTTGGGGATGATGCAGGCCAACCTTCCCTGCAGAGGAAGTCAGAGTACAGAAGATAAGAAGGACCCCTCTTTGGGAGGTGTGTCCAGTGCCTGTTCTCACTGCAGCAGGAAGGATCAGCAGCAGTCTTTGCCTTCTGCTAGCAGTCCACTTGCCCCAAACACTTTTGTTGTCTCTTTCTGAAGGGACAGGGTGGCCTAGGACTGTGAGGTAACATTGTTTTTGCAAAACAATGTCTTGATTAAGAAATCTTATGGTCGGTCTGTTTCCCTCATCTCTGGCTTCTGAAGCAGTAAATCAAGGCCAGTCAGAATGGTTAACTACTCTACCTGCATTTGTTTGAGAGAACACTCAGCATCATGAAGGTGGAGCTGTATGCCTGGAATACCAGTGGAGCATCTTTGTCAGACTAGGGCAAAGTATTGTGGGACATGACCAACACCTCCCTCCCCTGAAGCCTTCTATAAATGGAGAATTTTCAGGCATCACTATTAGCTGTAGAGCATCAGAATAAAGTGAAGGTACTGTTTTGAATGGTGTTTTATGCTGAGTAAATGCTTCTCATTGAAGCTACTAATGTAACCACTTAGTTTTTACCTCTTACAATTGTAACTGTTTTTCTTCCAGGTCCTAGGTGGGATTGAACCAAGTTTGTATAAAGGAGACATCTGGTATACCCCAATTAAAGAGGAGTGGTACTATCAGATAGAGATCCTGAAATTGGAAATCGGAGGCCAGAGCCTCAACCTGGACTGCAGAGAGGTGAGTATCTTCCATTCTTGTTGGATTCTGCCTATAAGTGATGGAGAAGACTCAGTATTTAACTGGAACCTGGGCATGAACTCATGAGGTAGATCATATTGCAGGGTAGTCGTCGTCTTTTGTTTTTGTTTTTGTTTTTTTGAGACAAGGTTTCTCTGTGTAACAGCCCTAGCTGTCCTAGAACTCAGTCTATAGACTAGGCTGGCCTCAAACTCACAGAGATCCACCTGCCTCTGCCCACTGAGTGCTGGGATTAAAGGTATGCACCACTACCACCTGGTGGTGGTATTTATCACAGTCTTTATCTATGATGAGTTCAAATCAGTAAATTACATGCATGCACACACTACAGCCTCTGGAAAAATTAGTATAAGGTGCTGAGTATTGAGGATAGTGTCCAACTTCATTTTCATCTTCCCCAGTCATCTTGGCCAGATGGTCCCTCAACTCTGTGTAAAGAACCTTTATCAGGAGAGAGAATGGAGATTAAACTCATCAGCTTTATCCTCCTTAAATACCCCTCCCCACACACACACACACACATACACACACACAACTTAAGACTCCTAAAGGTGCAGCAGCTTGACAATACCACTAGGAAAACACGAATGCATCTCCCATTAGCCGCACACCCAGTCTCACACTGCATTTGGCTTCTTTTGTGTTATGGTATTAAAATTATTACAGTTTGAGGAAGCCTCAGTCCTGTGTGCCAGTTTTAGAATGGCTTCTGAAGCTCACCAGTCAGTGACTGTATAGACCACTCTAGCACTTCCCCTCTTGTTGACTCCCACATGTCTCCACACTGCCTTGAATTCTCATGATTACGAATACCTCGAATCAATGTTGGTCTACCCGAGTGCTAGAGGGGTAGTTGGGTACCAAGTCCACATTTCTGCACTGTCAAAGGCCCTTAGTTATCACTGACATCTCCAGGTTTGTATCCAATAAATTAGAATACAAAGTGTGTGTTGTTATTAAATTTCCTTCCCAAATGCAAATAGGGGTGTCCATCAAGAGTTGTCTTTCTCTTTTTCCACTGGTCAAATAATAGAAAAATGGATTTTGAACAGTTTGCAGAAGTGGCTTTTAAAAGGGTTCTTCTAATCTCTGAAGTCCAGTGACCTATCCCTCTGCCCAGCATGAGGGATAGGCAACTTGAGCAGCTCCAAGAAGTCATAAAGCTCTGCCTAGGAACTCTAGGTTGTGGTCCTGTCCCTTTCTAGTGCCCCAGATTCCTCAGCTATGAAAACACTGGCATGGATGACCCCTGACTCCTGAGCTCTGGAGTTAAAATGGCTCATGATCACCACTGAGCTGTGGTGGCTGCATGAAGTTGTCAATGACAGACACAAGTGATGGAAATGGGGTCACAGTACGTGGATGACATATGCAGCCATGCTCAGTGCCTTCCCCTTTTCCTGTTTTAGTATAATGCAGACAAGGCCATTGTGGACAGTGGCACCACGCTCCTGCGCCTGCCCCAGAAGGTGTTTGATGCAGTGGTGGAAGCTGTGGCACGCACGTCTTTGGTGAGTCCCAAGGTGCTTGGGAATTTTCTAGAACACAGCTGTGTGTTGTAAGTCTCTGGACTATTGCTCGGTGTTCTGAAGATTTTAAAGAGCAGGTTGTTTTGTAGACTGTTGCTTGTGAAGCTCACTCATGAAGTTACCTTTTGATAGGAATCCATCCACAAGCAATACCTTCTTGTCAGCTTCAGAGGGTTTGGTTTGGAGTGTGCAATACTTCCAGGGTTCTAATAGTTGAGTTGGCACAAGAATTTTTTTTTAATTTGAGGTAAAAATCATCTGCAGAATGATTGTATCATGTGCCTCTTAATGATAGAAATACAGTCTGGGGACAGTATTGCCATGTGATACCCTTGTTATGCAGACATCATGGGGTGTATTTAGACAAAACTGGGTGATGTGTCTATCATCAGACAAAAGGGCAGATAAGATGGCTCACTGGGTAAAGGTGCTTGCCATTCACGTCTGACATCCTGAGTTGGATCCCCAGGACTCACGTAAAGGTGGAAAGAAAGAACCAACTCCACAAAGTTGTCCTCCACATGGATATTATTCCACATCTGTGTTCCCTCCCACAATAATAATAATAATAATAATAATAATAATAGTAATGTCTAAAAATAAATGAAACACAAAACCCACAACATGTTTGTATAGCACAACACATGGCTTTGCAGTAAACTTTGTAAGCATAAGTACACAAAATCGCTATGGAAAGTGTGGTATGTCACTTACACAGCTGTTTGCTGTCACTCTGTCCTGGAATTGTCACTCTGCTTTAACACAGCTGTCAGTACAGTAGGTATGCTCACACCAGCACCACCCCAGACCTGTGAGTGAAGCACTGGGCTGTGATGACACAGTGGCTGTGATGTCTCAAGGAGTGAGGAATGTCCCCCTTCATTATAATCTTGGGCCACTGTTTCCTCATGCTGTCATTGGTATAAAACTTACCTAGCACATGACTGTGTGCTAAAGTAACAGGAAAGCACAGTTGCATTTGTGTCCTTTAAGATAAGCCCCAAATCTGTTCCCTCTTTGCTCCTCATCCAAACTGGAATGGTGTCTAAACATTGTATAGAAAGCAAGCCAGTTGGCCAAAGTAACATTTGTTTGATGGCCATATCCTGAAATAATAAATATATCCTGGTTGAGAACAGTGTATTGGTCAGGGTTCTCTAAAGAAACAGAACTGATTGAATATATACGATTTATTAGATTGACTCACAGTAAACCAACAATGGTTGTCAGCTAACAGCCAAGGCTAGCCATCAAAAACAGCATAGCCTTTGAGGCTTGCCTACTGTTTCTCCCAACATCATCTCGGCTTTCCAGTCAGTGCAGACCAACAGTATAGACCAAAAACATCTGTCTAGGGCAGGGGAGATGGCTCAGTGGATAAAGCGCCTGCCGTGCGAGCATGAAGATTGATTGGGATTCAGAGCCCTAGAATCCATGTCAAAGCAGGCAAGTGTGGTGGCTTCCTGTAATTCTGCACTGGGGAGGCAGAGATGGGATCCTCAGAGCAGGCTGGCTAGCTGGACAAGCTGGAATTGGTGAGCTCTGTGTTCATCAAGAGACCCTGCCTCAATAGAGTGAAGAGCCACTCAAGAAGACACTCCTGTTAACTTCAGGCCTCCACATATATCTTAGTAAGGTTTCTGTGGCTGGGATAAAAACAGCAAGACCAAAGAAACTTGGGGAAGAAAGAGTTTATTTCAGCTTACAACTTTCAGGTTACGATCCATCACTGAAGGCAGTCAGGGCAGGAACTCATGACAGAAACCTGGAAGCAGGAGCTGATACAGAGTCCATGAGGAGTGCTGCTTACTGGCTTGTTCCCCATGGCTTGCTCAGCCTGCTTCTTTATAGGACTCAGGACCACCTGCCCTGGGGTGGTCCTTCTGACAGTGAGGTTGGCCTTTCTACATCAATCATCAACTGAGAAAATGTACCACAGGCTTGCCCACAGCCCAGTCAATTAAGGGTCCTTCTCAGATATGTTTAGGTTTGTGTAAGGTTGATATAAAATTAACCAGCACAGTACACATATACACAATTGCAATTGTACCTGCATATATGAGCATACACAGGTAAGCATACATGCTTTCACTCATTCATACCACATACGTACATGAAAAATATCAGTCTGTGCAGCATTGGGTATCAATGGGTATTTATTAATTACTTGCTCATGGCTGGGACACGATACCTCACAGAAGGATTTATGTTGTTCATGGTTTCAGAGGTGTCAGTTTATCATTGTGGGGAAATTGAGGCGGAGCAGAGAAGCTCATATCATGCCATCCAGGACACAGATAAAGAGAATACAGAAGAAGGCCAGGGCAAGATAAATCTCTAGACCCTCTCCCAGTGCCCTCTTCCAGCTGGACTGCACCTCCCACCTTAACAACCTCCTCACAATGCCATGATATTCTGAATCCCTCAAGGAAGTAATGTCAGTGAGGTCAGATCCCCAGTACTGAATCACTTCCCAGAAGCCCAGCAAATGGGGGAACACTCCATATTCAATACATACCAAGTAACACTAAGTCCAATCCAGGTTCCTCTATTTGGTAGTAGGGAACCCTCAGGGAGGCTCCCTGCTTCCATCTGTGGGGTTGTTGAGACTGTTTCTTTATATATATTTCCATCTGTCATCTATATCTGTCACCTGTGAATATCTCTATTCCTTCTTCCACTGTGACTTCTCTCATGGCTTGACTGCTAGGCTGGATGACCTATCAATGGCCACTTGGGAGGCCAGGGTGCCCAGCACTTTTTCATGAAGCGATCAGTTTCCTTTTAGCTTACACAGCTTGGCTGGCCAACTGTCCAGCTGTCCCTGCTGCTTCTCTTACTCTGCCATGTCACTGGTGCTGCCCTCTGCTGCTGTTTCTCCATGTTAGCTCAGCCCACACTTCTGAAAGTATGAAAAAAAAGACCCTCTAAAGAGAGGCCTTTTTTTGGACCACGGCTGCATCACCAGGGGAGGTAGCCCCAGAGTGGGTCTCCCAGCTGACTGCCTGTGTGAACCTGAACAGCCTGCTTGCACAGCTCAAGAAGGGGTGTTTAGGCCAATCACAGCATTTGTTTGACAACTAACAGACATTTGCTCTGAACCAATGGCAGCCATTTGTTTGGACCAATCAGAGCCTTGCCTCTTAGCACCTGTCCAAACAATACCTTTTCTAGACTACCAGGGGAACTGCTCTCTGCCTGGCCAAGGTGGATGTGGTTCAGGATCATCTAGAGTTCATCCAGGCTTGTCACAACAAAAAGTCTGGTAGTAAATGTTTCAAACAGCCCTGGCTTAGATGGTGACTTTAGTAGTGGGCAGTCCCTGCAGTCCTTGCTAGTCTGAAGGCATCTCTGGAATGTTCTGTGTGGCTGATACCAGTTAAGGGCAGTCTAGTTGGCTGCTAGGCTGATAATTACTTTGCTCAAGACAGGAAGAGCAACAAGGGGTAGTCCTTCAGCTGCTAACTAAGGAGTCAAATTGCTCTGTCCCCAAATCTTTGCTTATTTACAGGAAAATGAACATCAGAGGTGTACTTAATATAAAACTTAATATTAACAGATTTTATAACTGGTTTTTACAATGTTGACACCTCCCTGTGCCCAGAGAGAGGCAGGTGCCCCTTGTCTTTCTCATGTCTACTCAAGGTTCTCACTAGATGACCAGACATGAGCATGTTGTGCCCAGGGCCTGCATGTGATGCTGGCAAGGGGCTGGAGTAAGACCAAAAGCAGAAAACTGTGGCCGTGTGTCAGATTCCAGCAGAAATCTGGGAACAAGAGAGGCATCGGCTATTCTGTCCCCAAATTGCAGAAACCTGGATTTATATGGGAAGAGCACCCAGCGAGACAGTGTGCACAGGTTTTGGTTTCCAGTGTCAGGCAGTGGTCCAGAGCAGCCATGCCAAAATCAGAACAAATCCGTATCTTTGCCAACAGCTGCTACACCCAAAAAAATGCCAAGTCAGTCTTTCCATGCTGTAAAGTTAGAATGCTTGCTTAAAATCAGACCCTACTTAAAATAAGGAGCATATGCCCAGTGCTTAAATATAAGTATGTTCTGTGAGGGAGTGGTGTGAGCGCCTTAAGGCTCTATATTCTGAGCTCTTAAGGGTTTACAAGAGTCACGGGGACCATAGGAGTGTCAGGTGTACAGCCAGTGAGCCACAGCCAGCCCTCCCATGAGCCTGGGCAGGTGAGTGGAGGGGTGCGGGTACCTCGAGTTCATCTCAGCATCCGATGACTTAAGCAAACCACGAGGCAGAGGCAAGGAGCTTACAGCATTTGTTTGCTGTGTCTAAAATTATCCCATGATTTCACTCAGCACCTGTATCAGGGAGGAAAGGCATGAGATTGTCAACCTTGGGTAGGGCATATTCTAGTAGTGTGTATCTTTTGCCTTATAGTGCAGGGCCTCTGGGCTTTGGTCCCCTTTACCTACATAGGGCTCATGGAAGTCCACGCTCTTGGCTTTTTTTTTTTTTTCCCTAATTAAGCAAAAGGCTAGATCTAGACTGGAAGGAACTGTAAAGCCTGAGCTCTGTCTCTGTGTGTGTGTTGTTTAGGCAGGATGTAGAAAGGAATGGTTTCTAGGTCTGCGGATCTTCTGGAGCCCCAAGCTCCATCCGTTCCAGCTGTGGCACCCCAGTTAGGGCTCAGCCTACCACCTCGTTGGCTATAGAACCCACCATCAAAGTGGCATCTGTCCAAAGTGTCTTCCAACTTTAAAACTGACCTGAGGTTGGAAAACAGCAGTCCCCCCCCCCCCCCCCCCCCCCCCCCGTGCCCAGGGCTCCATATGACTGTTGGGCATATTTTCAGGAACAGAAAATACACCTCCAGATCTGATCTGTACCATGCTGGTCATTTGCCTGGCCTCTCTGGGACTCACTCTTTATTACACAGTGGAGCTGGTCATATGCTTCACTGGAATATTGGGCACTCCCAGGAGGCCCAGGCACTCTTACCTCTGACACATCCAGCAAAATGATAAGTCCTCCATCCTGATTAGCTCACCAGGGAAAGGGCCCTATGATACCTATTGGGGATCCATCACTTCTGTAAAAGACGAAAGTGTATTAGCACCGGCATTAGAACCCTTACACATCTACCATGACTGTGTGGGATGATTAACAGGTGGCTTCCTGCCGCAGAGAATGGGTGGTGGCACCTAGCATGTGCCAGTGTTGCGCACAGCACCCACCTGGCATTCAGATGTAGGCGTCACCTGTTTCTCAGGACTGGATCCTAGCCCTGGCTTCTCCCAGTCTCAACCCCTACCACCATCTGCTATTGACTCTAGCCATCCCTTAGAGCTCAGAGGACTCAGGGCACAGATGAGCTGCACACATGCCCACTTGGTCACACCTGTGGTGCTGCTGAGAACAGACCTGAGTAAAGGGAGTGCAGGCTTTGACTGCTTTACGGCAGCACTGGACTCTCTCCCAGCTCCTCTCACCTCTCTTTCTGCCGCTGGCACCCAGTGGGCAGGTTCCTGTCAATACCTTTGCTGTGGCCCTGCCTACCACCTTTTTCTCACTCCCTGCCCTGAGCTTTTTGCTTGGGAAGCTCCACTGGTGCGGCCCACTCCCCTTGGCCACATGTCCCCATATCTCTGTCAGACACATTCCTTCCACCAACATATGGCTCAGGCATAGCCCAAGACCTGAGGCTGAGATGGCACATGTCTACGGAGCTCATTCCCCTGCAGGTAGAAGTGGGTGGATGGCACCACCTTTCCCGTTCTTGATGGGAGGCACAGATGGCCTTCTTTTGATTCTGGGTGTCACTCATTTTTCTCCCACATGTTCCTCAGTGTTGTCTTGTGTAGGTATTGGGCCCACATAGTGAGACATAGACAGGCACAGTCAGGGAACACTGTCCTGAGAAGTTCTAGGTCCAAGTACAGGATCATTCATCACCAAGAAGCAAGATTTGTTACCAAGGACTTCCTCAGGGAAAGGCCAAGTGAGAGAGGGCTGGAGCAGTGTTCTAGTGTTAAGTCAGGAGGCAGGGAGGCTTCCTGGATGAGGTGGGGTCTGGGCTGAGGTCTTGAGGAGGAGTGTTTAAGAAGAACACAGCATTAGGAAGCAGCTAGTGTAATGAACCCCTGGAGTCCAGAGGCAGGCAATGCCCCAGAGAGCCTAGGAGGCCATTGTGATGGGTAGTTTTAACTGTCATATTGACATAAAGTAGACATGGGAAGAGAGTTGCAGTTGAAGAATTACCTAGATTAGGTTGGCCTGTGGGCATGTCTGTGAGGATTATCTAGATTGTTCATTGATATGAAATACCCAGCCCATTCCCTAGCCAGGGCCGGAACTGTGTAAGAGAAGAGAAAACTGGAGGAAGGCAGTCAGGCAGCACAAGCCAGTTTCTCCCTGCTCTCAACTGTGAGTGTAATGTGACCCGCTGCTCCCCGCCTCCCCCCCCACTGCCATTTGTTTTCTATAATGCACTGTAACCTGAGTTGTAAGAAGAGTAGCCCACTCTCTTACAGTTCAGACAAGCCTAGGTTGCTTTTCGTCAGAATATTTTATCACAGCAACAGAAATCAAACTACAATAGATACTTTTAGAATTTCTTTCTTCTAAAGGCTTGTTGCTGTGTGGCCTTGGGGAAGTTGCCACACTTCTATGGTTCCCTCCCTGGTAATGTGAAAGGGAACATTACCACACAGGTTGGCGTGCTGGAAGGCTAAAGTAGGCATTTGCCAAGGCATTTTCACAGTGCCCAATCCCAGGAAGTGATCTGGGTATCTTAGTAGTTTTAATAATTATTATTGTGTCATCACCAACGTTCTTCCAGAAGACTGATGTCCCTGTCACTCTGTCCAAATGAGATGTTGTTTATCCCTGTGGGCGTCTAGTGCTGGGACCAGCAAAGTAGAGAGCTGTTTCCTGTTATGCACCAGGCTGGTCTCTGCTTCTCACAGGATCTGTTTGTCTAGATTCCAGAGTTTTCTGATGGCTTCTGGACAGGGGCCCAGCTGGCATGCTGGACAAATTCTGAAACGCCGTGGGCGTATTTCCCTAAGATCTCTATCTACCTGAGAGATGAGAACTCCAGTCGCTCCTTCCGAATCACCATTCTGCCACAGGTACAAACTTGGGTTTCTTCTCTGCTCCTTATTTTTACACGTAACTCACAAAATCAGATTGTATGCATAACTAGGCACCTGTGGCCACGATGATGCCACCACACTGTTGCTTGCTCATGAATCTGCAGGTCTGCTGGTCTGTCAGTCTGCCTCATATGACCCTGGTCAGCAGGGAGTGGGCTGGGTCTGTCTTGGCTTACCCTGGGATGTTATGGGCTCACCTCACATGTCTGGGGTCAGCTTAGTGGCTTAACAATCCCATGTGTCTTTCCATCATCAGATAGCATGGGTGACAGTGGAGTTCTTAGAAGAAAGAGCCCAATAAAGCCCTGGAGTATTAGCCCTTTTCCCTCCCTGATGTCACCCAAAGAAGCCTGAAGTGGGCCTAGATTCCAGGGCTGGGGACACAGTCTTCCCCTCTCAGTGTGAAGAGTCACACAGCCTCAAGGCATAACACAGAGAGGTGAAGAACTTGAGGACAGTTATGACATCTGCCACAGGTCCATTTCTATTTTGTCTTTGTGTCAATCACATTGGACTGTCAGAAGTGAAGGCCTCATAGTTCCTGTAGCCGCAGAAACTCTTTCTTCCCAAGGGGCTCAGTAGACCAAGCTCTGTCTTCCTGAGTCACATTCCCCTCTCCACTCTCCCAATCCTCTTTCCCTGAGCCCTGACTTTGTTAAGAAGACAGACTTGGTACCAAACTGGAAAAGGCCCAGGTGAGCTGTACTTCCTGATCTCACAAGAGGTGGCACTGTGGAGTCATTTCCCTGCAGCATGCCTCTGCCTAACCTCTGCCTGGAATCTTGGGAAGTCTGATTCAGGGTTCCTGTCACCAGACTCTTAGGACAGAGCTTTGGGCACACACACACACACACACACACACACACACACACACACACACAAACACACTTTTTTTTTATTTAAAACATCCTCTAGCCCAACAGGAAATTCTAAGTTTCTTCATACACCCTTGAAAATGTGCTTACTCTCAGTTGAAATACTGCCAGTTTTCTGTTTATGCTACTTTGGTTTAAGGTAGGCAAATATGTTTTTGCTTTTTTTTTTCTGAGATTCAGCAAGATTAAGTGTTCTCGTAGGTTACATACAAAATGTATGGTCTGGAATTCTTTAACTTTATTTTATTTTTATTTTAAAATTTTATTTTATCTTAATTATTTTTTATTTTTTTAATTTTATTAAATTCTTTTATTTTAGGCAGTGTCACACTATGCGTGCCAGACTAACCTTATATTCAAGTTTGCCTACTTTTGTCTCCCAAGTCCATTATCTGGAGTTCTTCCTGGAAGGGACACACAAAAGGACCAACTAACAGATGCAAACACGCTCTAGGTGGCATCTGGCCACTACTCTGTCTGTCAGCTGCTTCCTATGGGCAACCTCCACAACCTTAGGTCCAGGTGTTGCTGTGGGAACTAAGCATATGGTCCTGCACCTTTTCCTGATTTAAGTGGAGCCTTTCTAGAAGTTGTGTGCCCCATTTAACACTGATCAAGCTTCACTGTGCACATTCATTTAACACACATTTTCCAAGGCCCTACTCAAGGCTAAGGCCCCAGACTCTAGGGAAGAGGGGAGTAACTCCTTGCTTGAGGTAGTACTTCCTGACAGTCTAATAGTGCAAGACAGCCACTGCACTATTAGTCAGTCCCCTAGAGTGAGCACACAAACCCACACTCACACACACACACATACACTTGGTTGAAATTAAAAATAAAAACTTTAAAAAAATAAAGTTTGCAGAGACACTTTTGATCTCGTGTCCAGGATGCCTGGGATTATATCATTGTCTCTCTCTCCCTTGACCTTTGGGGGGCTCTGAGCAGAGTGGGACCCCCAGTTTTATGCTCTTGTCTAATCCATGCTTTGTCCTGTGTCTTTCCCGTGATTCTTCAACAAACAGCTCTACATTCAGCCCATGATGGGAGCTGGTCTCAACTATGAGTGTTACCGTTTTGGTATCTCCTCTTCCACAAACGCACTGGTGATTGGTGCCACCGTGATGGAGGGCTTCTACGTGGTCTTTGACAGAGCTCGGAAAAGGGTGGGCTTTGCAGCGAGTCCCTGTGCAGGTAAGTGTGGCTTGCATGGCACAGGGGCTCCCTAAAGAGAGGGCCTTGGTAAGTGTGCCCACCTGGAACAGTCAGAGTGGCTTGCTGGATGCTATTGGACCATTTGACATGTGCTCTTTTCCAGTGACCAGATCTTACCACTGAAATGGCTCTTGGGCTTGTTGAAAGATGAAACAAGGTGTGAGTGTGTGTGTGTGTGTGTGTGTGTGTGTGTGTGTGTGTGTGTGTGTAATACTGGAGGTTGAACCCAGGTATGTACACATGCTAGGGTAATACCTACCACTGAACTATGTCTTCAGTCCTTTACTTCTTAGCCTTTTAAATTCCAAAACTGCATCTCCATAAGTTGCTCAGGCAGTCTTTGAACTTGGGATCCTTGTGCCTCGGCCTCCCATTGAGCTGAGATTACAGCTGCACCACCAGGCTCAGCACACATACAACTCTTGTAGCTCAGGCACACAGCAGGTTCTTGGAGAGTGCTAGTCACCGTGGTTGCCCTGAAAATCACTTCCCACACAAGAAATAAAAATGCCCATGAACCTTGCTGCTGAATTACAGTTTGATTTTATTCTGTGGGTTCTGGGAATGAAACCCAGAGGCTCAAGCAGACTAAGCTCATGTCCATCATTATACTGTGTCTGAAGCCAAGAATTACAATGTTTTGATGGTTGGTGCAAAATTAATAAAGGGAAGAATTCATGAGAATCTGGGTCTTTGTTAGAAAATAAGTAGAGGTCTGTGGAAGCTGTTTCTTAGAATCCTAAAGTAATAAGGCCAAGGAGTAATTGTCTCAAAACATGTTGGGTGGAGTATGTAAGAAGATGCACCAGAGTTACCCTGCAGAGTCTAGGGTGGAACTCTACGGGAAGCTACTGGGGTAGGGAAGCAACCTCCAGATTGACAGCTGCTCCAGGTAGGGCTCACATAACACCTGGTGCCATCAAAAACTAGGTGCTGGTGACAAGCAGCTCAAGCTGCCCAAGAGGAGGCAACTGAAGATCTCAGCGTGTGATCAGGTTGCTGAAGAGAGAGGAAGGAGAGCCTGTATCCAGGATGGTGGTCAGGATGGCTGCAGGATTTCAAAATAGCCTTTCAAGGGACTAAGAAAATGTTTGAAAACTGAGTGTGGTGGGTCATGCCTATAACCCCAGAACTCAGGAGGCTGAGCCAGAAGGATTGCCTTGAGTGAATCTGAGTAAGGCCCTGTCTCAGAAAATCAAAAGTTTTGAGGGTTGAATGTGATATGTAAGTTGGGATAAAGTGCCTGCCTAGGATACAGGAAGCCCAGGTTCAAGCCCGACCACAATGCACAGCATAAAATGGATGTAATGACATGTGTTTATAATCCCAGCTGATCAGAAGTTTAAGGTTATCTTAGCTTTCTTTCCCACAAATCTTGTTCACATATAAAATGCTATTAAACCAGGGGCTCCCTTTACAGCAGCTGGCATTGTGTGCACATAGCGCTGCCCGGAGTATGATAACAGTATGTTGTCTGAATGGACCACTGCTGGATGTGATTTCACATTGTTTCACAGTGGGGCAACACAGCTGTATTGATTTTACTCTGAACTATGTTTGTTGTTGTAACACAAGTTTTTTTCTTAATGGTGTTTAAGAAATAGATTTAAGGCCTTGGCACTTAAACACTTGATCTCACCAGCTGTGAGAAGATACCCTGATATCTGTCTCCTCTTCAACACAAATTATTTAGCTATCAGAGCAATTCCTTCCCTGGGGGCTGCCGTTACAACAGCCAAGCTCTGAAGCCCTGTGAGAAATGGACTAGACATTCTATCTTTCTTTATCGTTTTCATTCTTAATTATATAATACATTAAATTCTAGAAAGCATTCCTTCATCTCCCAGTACGCTTGGGAGATGGTTCCCAGAACACCTCTCAAGTATCCGTGGATGCTCGAGTTCTTTGTGCAAAATGGTGCTGTATAGACAGGTAGCCCGTGCTCACCACCCAAATACTTTAAACCATTTCTATATCTGTAGTAATGTGATACAGTGCAAACGCCATGTAAATGGTTCCTGTTCTGCTTGCTCAGGGAACAATGAGGACATGACCAACTGCATCCAGGCACTTCTTTTCAAATATTTTCCATCTAAGATTGCTTGAATTCACAGATGTAGGACCCACAGACACAGAGGGCTAGCTGTGCATAAGGCGTGCACACTTACAGAAAATCCAATCTAAGAGATTTTCTAATCACATTTTCTTCAAAAGCTTGTCATAGATGTAGCTAATACCCCTCCCTCAGTGCATATGGATTCTTCTTACGATTACTGCACATCTATTATTTTGTCAGACAGGTGTAAGCATGTTGTATTAGACATCTGTTTCTTCCTAACAGCTTTCTCTGAACGTGGCTGCTCTTTACTGTGGTTCCTCCTGCAGTTTCCAAGGATCAGGCATGGAGACTGGTTGAGCTGACTGGGTCTGGCTCTGAGTCTGATCATCACCTGCAGCCATCCGACATCTGCAGATGCTGCTTCCAAGTTCACTCCTGTGGTTGTTGGCAAGAGTCCCTGCTCATTGCCACAAGGGCATCACCACAACTTACCTGAGTGTCCTCAGAATAGCACCTGGTCCTCTCTTAATGAGTTATCCACGAGAGGGTACTACAAAACCCTTAAGACATAAGCTGAAGACTTTCTGTAGCTCAGTTTCAGTGGTAGTGCTACTGTTTATGACATGTTTTGTTGGTTCTGCAGTGTGGAGGAGGAGACTACATGGGTTAAATATCAGGAAATGGATCTCAAATAGAAAAGCATCTTATCCTGAATTCTGTCTATCGTAGAATTGGTGGTGATTCATTGTCAATTTGACACAACCTACAATCACCAGCGAAGAGAACATATAGCAAGAGATTCTCTAGGTCAGGTTTTCCTGTGGGAGATTGTCTTGATTACATTAATTCAGGTGGGAAGGCATTGTGGGTGGTACTATTCCCTTGGTTTCAGTCCTGGACTGTGTTAAGTGTAGAAAGAGGTTACATACAAATAGACATGCATGAATTCATTCTCTTTCTGCTCTTGACTGTGGACATGATATGACCAGGTGCTTCAAGTCTCTGTCTCAACTCCCTAAAATAATGGACTGTGACCGTAAACAGTGGCAGAAGAAACCCTTGCTCCATGAAGTTCTGTCAGGATATTTTGTCACAGCAACAGAAGTAAAACCAAGACAGGCGTGTGGCAAAACATACTTTCCTTAGTTAACTGACTTTATTTTCAATTTATATTACTGTTGTGGAACTGTGTGTGTTCCTTGTCAACTTGATCTCTTTGCTAAATAATGTATGTTCTAAATGTTCTGTGTTAATACTTTCTTTAACTGCTACATCATACCACATTGTCTGAGTATACTACCCAGGTTATCTAATAAACCTTTTAGAGACAAAGCACAAAATTTAAAAGCAATTACTGCTCTATCAGAGGACTGGAGTTTGGTTCCTATATAGGATGACTCACAGTTAACTGTAACTTCAGCTTTGGAGGCTCTGATGCCCTCTTCTGGCTTTCACAGTTGTCTGTATATACACACATATACAGATATACACACACACACACACACACACACACACACACACCAGTGTGTAGTGCTCGTGTGCACCTGCATACACATGAACATAAACCCACACACATGCACATACACAAAAAAAAAAATAGCATATCACTGAACGATTGCATAATTTTATTAAACTGCCATCTTCATCCAAGTATGCAAACCCAGAAGGGAAGTGAGTGAACAGCTTCTTGCACAGCTGTGTTCTCTTTTCTATAAACAGTTTCCCTGATAAAAGTCTCAAAAGGTGATTATTGTCTAAAATGCTGTGATTCATGTCTCAGTTGTAAGTTTTTTAAACTTTGCCTGTGGTGCATTTTAACATAAAAAATACTTTTTGGGTTTTTTAAGTCTCTGTTTAGTATTCATGAGAACTTCAGGGTCTCTACCCCTGACTGTGGCAATTCAGAGTCCAGCCAGGCTTGGTGAAGGTGGAAATCTGAGGATTCCAATTCTCACAGAAGAATCCTCCTTTTGTTCCCAGCCCTTCCTCAGACCACAGGCAGCCAGGCTCCCTTGATGGTAAAGTTTTGGATTCTTCACTGATAAGCCAGTCTTTCATAGGCATTGTGGCTCTAGCACCTACTTCCTTGGTGTTTGAGTTCAAGTTTCTTGCAGTGTGACTTTCCAGGGGAGATGTAAAAATGTCTATGCCAAATAGAGAGGGAATAGACAGACCAAAGACAGCTCCCATCAAGTCCACCATGGTACATTAATGAGTTTATTGGTGTCACTCACAGAAGCATGGACAACCCATGGGAGCAGCACTGTTGACGAGCTAATGTGGATGGGGAAAATCCCACCAAGCCACAGCCCTGGATGAAGAGTTACAGGAGATTACTGGCTGCTGAGAGAGGGAGAATCCATCTTCTCTAGAGATGAGCCCCCTGATTGGTTATCCACTCCCAGGTGGTCAGCCCTGATACATATGAACAACACTAAGTGAACTCAGCAAGTTGTGCTCATATATTTATTCATTTATGTATGCGTGTAACTGATAGTTTTTTAAAAAGAGGCCATGAATCTGAGAGAAGCAGTATGGGGAGTCCAGCATGGGAGGTATTGAAAGGAAGAGGGGGAGGGGTTGATATAAATCAAAAAGGGAAAAAGAAAAGCCCCAACCCTAGTTGGTCTTTTACCTTGTATATAATGTATACATATATCATAGCATAGCATATCATATCATATCATATTATATTATATATCACCTATGGCTGCACAGAATGGAGTGGGGTTTGAAATCTTGGGGAAAGGTTGGGGGTGGGGGTTGGTGAAGGGCTTGTGATGTCCATGGCCTTTTTTCCTCACATGGTAGCAGACTGTCCATAGACCTATCTTCCATAGAGGTCTGTTTGCTGCCATGATTGCTGGATGAGGTCTGTCACCATGGCCACCCTGCTCCACAGTGGTGGTGGTCGCGTGAAGCCCTGGGAAAACAACCACAGCATCACCCACCCTTCCTGGACGTGGAGACTGTAGCTCTCGTGTGTGAACTTCAGGTTAGGGAAAGGCTCTTCTACGCCCTGCAGCATGTTTAAAACCGGAGGGTGATCTGAGCACACTGGTCCACACCTATAGTCTCTGCTACTTGAAAAGCCGAGGCTGGGGCATCCCTCGAGCCAGGAGTTTGGAGCTAGCCTCCTTAACGTTGCAAGACTCTCTCTTTAAAAAACAATACTGACAGTATAGCTCAGTGATGGAGCACATGCTTAGCAGATCCAAGGCCCAGTGTCCAACCCTCAGGAACTAGCTAGATGAATAAATAGTGGGAGCTACAGTTAGCCTCCTGTCTGTCAGAACAGGAGCAAGTTCCCCACAGAACCAACCAAACTGGTGGAGTCAAAAGCTTCTTATAGTTATAGAAGCTTCTACTATTTCCCAGTGCCTTTATTTTGGCTTTATAATTTTGGGCAGCTCTTAGTTTGTAGGGTTCACTGAGGGTTGCCGTAGGGGAGCAGGGGGCAGGGAGCAGAAGCCCTTTGCCAGAATCCCTGGGACTCCAAGAGCTTCTCCAAGACTGACTTTGTGGACTTCCTGGCTTGTTTTCCTGGAGTATGTCAGGGTGGCATGGTGCAGGGTGATTTGGGGAAAAGTGCCCAGTCTCCTTTTCTTTTTGTGTGTACGTAGGCTGGAGGTTGTATTTAAGTGTGCACGTGTGGGTGTGTGAGTGCTGGTGCATGTGCACATGGGTTCATGTGGAGGCCAGAGGTCAACTTCAGGTGTCTTTCTCTGTCATTCTCCATCTTGTTCTTTGAGACAGGGTCTCTCATTGGTCTGGAACTCACCAAGCAGGCTAGGCTGGCTGTTCACCCAGCCCCAGGGATCCACCTATCTCTGTCTCCCCAGCACTGGGATTACAACAGCAGACTACCACAACGGGCATTTTTGTTTCTTTGGTTCTAGGAATCAAATTCAGGTCCTTATGCTTGCTCAGCAACTCTTTGCCATCTGAGCCTTTCCCCAGACAGCTTTCTTCTGCTGCCTGTGCCAGTGCCAATCCCGCATCCTGCTGGGAACCCCAATATGGATCCCAAGCAGAGCCATGCAAATTAGATGGAGAATGTGGAGCAATGTGGAACTGACCCTCCCAAGTCTCTGGCATACCCATGAACAGATACCCTGGGTAATGGGGCCCCTTCAGCTGCCTTCATATTGCCTTGTCCAAGCATCTGCAGCTAAGCAGATAATAATGATAGTGTTAAATTGACAACTCTGGTGTCTTAATGCCTCCAGGGCTTCTGAAATACCATCCATCTCTTTTTATAGACTGAGACATTTAGCACCCAAGAGCTATATAGATTGCAACTCATACAACTTGAAACACATCGTGGATTGTGGCAGTCATTCCATGGAATTTTTCTTGCTGCAGGTTGAAAGTGGATCATCTGGTATAGCTCATGTTTAAAAATAGGGAGAGTAGTGTGAAGATGAGTCTTAGAGATATGCCTGTGCTTATCTATTTAGAATATTGTCAAAGACACCAAACTGAGAACCAGAAAGCCATGGGCCAGGCTCTTCTGGCTCCACATTGTACAGTTAGAAACCCTGAGTTCTATGGATAATCTGTGCCTTTTACACCTACTGCGGAGAATACTGGCCCTGGGGCATAGGAGGTGGCTTATTCAGTAAAGTGCTTGCCACGCAAGCATTAAGACCTCAGCACCCATGTAAAAAGCAGATATGGTGGTGTGTGCCTATAATCCCAGCTCTGGGGAGGTGGGGAGGACAAGAGGATTCCTGAGATGTGGTGACTGGCCAGAGATCCCAGTGAGAAACTCTATCTCAAAAGGGAATGAAAGGGCAGGGAGCAAGAGAGAGAGAGAAAGAGACTGGCCTTGGGTCCAGAACCCTTCTAACTACAGAGTATTCTTTCAAGTGAAGCAGGCATTTGCACACAATGTCTTGATCGCAGATCTTCAGTTTGGTGGGGCACTTTGTTTCATTTTGTGTCTCATGGGGGGAGGGGATCTGAATAGCATAATCATCATCCTTAGTAAAGTGATATATCTTCCCAGGCATTCACTATCAACCAGGTCATGACCTTCTGAGAACAACAGAGAAAACACACAATTAAAATTTTAACTCACGGGGTGGGAGGAGGGAGGACAGGGGAATGGGTAGTTGATATGTAAAACGAATAGAAAATCTCTTAATTAAAAAAAAAGATTAATGATCAAAAAAATTTTAACTCAAGACATTGATAAAACAATTAAAATAACAACATAGTAACAATTGACCATCACCTAGCACTGACATGTACCCCAGGCACCATGTACACACATTTAACATGTGCTAACTTACCTATTCTTCCAACACTGTTGCTTACAGGGGCAGTTATGCCCCCATTTTACAGATGAGGAAAGTGAAAGTCAGAGCAGTTAGCTGAGAACATAGAGCAGACAGAGCTGTTAAGTCAAATGGCACAGTCCCCAACAAGGAGCAGGGATCTGAAGCCAGAGTTCACTCCCTTCCCTGTGATGAATGGTGCCCTCTCATATATAAGTCCAACATAGCAAAGTCAAGTCAGCTTCACAGCATAATTAGTGTAGCTAATAAATGCACAAACACCTGTGAATTGAAGGCTCATTCTAGAAAGTAACATCCAGAAAATAACTTTTGTTATTGTTTTTGAGAAGGTAAGTCCAACCTCCCCATGTGGCCTAGGATGACCTACAACTTATCTTCCTGCTTCCCCAGAGCCGGGGTTGTAGATGTGTACACCGCACCAGCTTGGGCGGCGCTGGGCGTGGAGCCCAGGGCTTCCTGGATGCTAGGCAAGCTTGACACTAAATGAGCCACATCCCCAGTCCTCAGCCTCAGTTTGAAATCCACCTTCCTCCAGTGCGGCAGGCCCACTGCGCTTGTGAGCATGGAGTTGTTTCTAACTAATGCATTATGTCTGACTACTTGAGATGGGTGCTTTCCCCCCAAAACAACGTGATGAATGACATAAGAGGAGGACAATGACTGCTCCTGAAGTGTGGAGGAGACTTTTATTGTAGATATGAGGGAAAAAGCAGGCAGAGGAAAGAGTCCAGGCTGATCATGACCAGCAGACTAAACTGGACCGTAATAGAAGAGAGGAGGAGGGAGAGCAAGAGAGGCAGCCTGGGCCAAGAAAGCTGGGGGAAGGGAACCTGAAGCCCAGTCCCTAGGGTGGAGAGGTTTAGGGTGGGGTGGGGGCGGGGCAGAAAGTGCTGGGAGGAGCCACAGGTACTGAAGGACACTGGGAGCGCTAGCATCCGCTTTCATATGTTAAGGACGCCTCACTTAGCCTTTTGTCCCAGGTTTCCCAGACTTAACACATACATTCAACTTCTGACTTTAAAGTAACACCATGTAAGGTGAAGAAAAGATGATTTTGTTGAGAGGTTTGTTTTTTGTTTTGTTTACATGAAAAACATAGACAAATACAGGCTTTCAATTTGAGAGGGAGTTCTAGAGTTGGTCCCCTGACCTGTGTGGCTGAGATTAAACACCTTTCTAGAATTGTTATTAACATGTATTAATGGTCCATATTACTGAGTCAGTTTGATAGTCTCACATGTGCATGCACTGTCCTGAATCAGGTCCTCCCCTCATTCTTCCACTGGACCCGGCCACTCCCTTCCCAGTCCTTCACTGGGGATGAGGGTGTCGTGTGTGTGTGTGTGTGTGTGTGTGTGTGTGTGTGTGTGTGTGTGTGTGTGTGTGTGTGACACATGTGCGTGTGTGCTCTGCAGTCCATGAATTTATATATAGTTCACATTAAATTCTGAAAATTTTTAGTTACTATTTCTTCTTTTTGGTTTTCTGCCCCTCTTTCTTCTTTGGACCCTTTAATTACATGATTAAGCAGCCTGATGCGTATGCACTGATGTTCTCTCTATCGGTTTTCCAGTGTTCTATCTGTGTGTCAATTCACGTAGTTTCTGTTGTAATTTCTTTAATTTGATTGGTCCTTTCAAAAGATTTCTTTTTATTCTCTATGGGTGTTTTATCTGCGTATATGTATGTGCGCCACATGTGTACACTGTCCTCAGAGGCCAGAAGAGAGTGTTGGATCCCCTAGAGCTAGAGTTACAGATGTTTGTGAGGTGCCATGTGGACACTGGAAGTTGAACCCAGGTTCTCTTCAAGAACAGCCAGTGGTCTTAGCTACCGAGTCATCTCTTCATCTCTGATTGGTCTTTTTCTATAGTGCATCTGCCATTAGTAACACCAATGTGGTTTTCATCTTATATATTGTACCAGGGAGTGTGACTTAGGTCTTCCAACATCTTCTGCGTCTGTGCTGTGTTAAATATTCCTCCAACTTCCTCATTAGAATATGTGATAATCGAGGTCATAATATCCTGTGTGCAACTGAACTTATCTGAGTTTTCTGGCTAAAATTTCTCTTTATAAACTGTATTTCCCTTCTTCTCTGTGTGAACTATAAATGGTGTGTTCCATCTCCTTGCTGTGTGTACTGTGTTCTATAGACTGAATGTTCATTACCCTCCAGGATTCCTCTATGGGAGCCTGAGATCCAACACAAGACATCTCCCAGCATGGAGGTAGAGCCTCTGTGACTGTAACCTTACAAAAGAGCTTTAGCAAGATCCTTTACTCCTTCCCCACATGAAAACACAGAGGCTGGCCATCCAAAAACCATGAAACCATCGCCAGGCAGGGTTTGCTTACATGCTGTTTGCAAGCCTTCTGCTCTGTGATATTCTCTCATAG